GGTGAACGCCCCCACCGCCAACACCGTCGCCGCCGCGGAGCACGGCATCGCGCTGCTGACGGCCCTGGCGCGCAACGTGGCGCAGGCCGACGCGTCGATGCGTGCGGGCAAGTGGGAGCGCGGCAAGCTGGTGGGCGTGAGCGTGGTGGACAAGACGCTCGCCATCATGGGCTTTGGCAAGGTGCGCGGGGCATACGGGCATGAGCGGGGTTGGGGCGTAGGTGTGTGCCTGTGTGTGTGTGTGTGTGTGTACTTGTGGTTGCATGCGGATTTGTATGGAGGGGTGCTAGATGGGAGCCGCACAGCCACCCCAGCCAGCCTGCCTGGCTTCGTGGCAGCTTTCTTTGTTAACCGATCTGCCAAACATAAGGGTTGTGCCGCTGCACTTGCTGGGGGTGATGGGGCTCTTTTTTTCTCCAGGCAGGGACGGGGCACCGATGCAGCCGGCAGACGGGCTGAGAGATGCCGCCCGCACAGCGCGCAGCAGCGGCGGCACAGCCGCGCCGGCTCTACGCTTTGAAACAAATACTCACAGCAGGGGCGCCGCCGCAACGGCCAGTGCACGCCACCCCTTCCCCCCAAATACACGCGCGCGCGCTCACACACAAACAGGTCGGCAACGAGGTTGCGCGCCGCGCCAAGGGCCTGGGTCTGACCGTGATCGCCCACGACCCCTACGCCAGCGAGGACAAGGCGCGCGCCCTGGGGGTGCAGCTCGTATCCTTCGACGAGGCGCTGGCCAGGGTGGGTGCCTGGGGCACGGTGGGGTGGACACCGGGGAGTGTTTGGCGGGGCACTGGGCGTGGACCGGAGGCCGGGCTCGCGTCGGGGGACGCTGTGCGGCGGGCACGCGCGGGGTGCGCATGTGGCTCCGGCGGGAGCATGCCGCCCGGCATGCCGCGTGGTCGGGGCCGACGGGCCCTGCCCCACGGGGCCGCGCACGGCGCACTTTTCGCCTGCCCTTGCTGAATGGATCGCCCCTCTCGCTGCACCCGCGCTTGGATTCCTTCCTTGACACCCCACGACCCCCCACCCGTCTCCCTTGTTGACCGCAGGGCGACTTCTTCAGCCTGCACATGCCCCTGACCCCCGGCACCAAGAAGATGTTCAACGACGACGCCTTCGCCAAGATCAAGAAGGTGGGCGGGCGGGGGCGACAGGGCCCCCTAAGATCCGAGGCGCCCGCAGCCTCTCCAGTCCGGCCCATGACGCGCCCCTCTCAGCGGGCGCACCTTGCACGACTGCGGCCGCCCTCTCTTGCAGCGACCCCCGGCCTTGCTGTGCATGCCGCACCACCTGGTCCCGCCGGCGCCAAAGCCAAATACATGAAACGGGGTCTTGCTGAACTGGGCGCGCCCAACCCTCGGCCCGCCCTGCAGGGCGCGCGCATCATCAACGTGGCGCGCGGTGGCGTGATCGACGACGAGGCGCTGGCGCGCGCACTGGACTCTGGGGCCGTGGCGGCGGCGGCGCTGGACGTGTTTGAGGAGGAGCCCCCGAAGTACGAGGGCCACCCCCTCATCGGCAGGTGACCGGGGGGCGTGGCTGGGTGTGGCTGGGCATGGCTGCTGCCCTCTGAACGTGGCTGGGTGTGGCTGGGGGAAGGGGGCTCACGGGGGGTGGCTTGTGAGCATGTGTGCGTTTGCATGTGTGTGCTTCTATGTGTTTGTGTTTTTGTGCGCGCGTGTGTGTGTGTGTGTGTGTGTGTTCCAGCGCACGCATCGAGGATGTGTGTTTGCAACCCGGGCTGGGCCTGCCCAGCGATGAGGTGCACGCTGGCGCAGCTGTCGGCGCTTACCCCTGCTACCCCTCACCCCACCCACCCCAACCCCACCCTTCCAATAAACCCAGGCCCAACGTCATCACCACGCCCCACCTGGGCGCCTCCACCGCGGAGGCCCAGGAGGGCGTGTCCATAGAGGTGGTGGAGGCAGTGGTGGAGGCGCTGCAGGGCAAGCTGAGCGCCAACGCCGTCAACGCCCCCATGGTGGCCCCGGAGGTGCTGCGGGAGCTGGCGCCCTACGTCACACTGGCAGAGGGCCTCGGCAAGGTGCGCTGCTGTGCGGGCCCGCAGGTCGGAACGAGATGGAGTTGTACTTTTTGCTAGGGACGTGCGTCGGCGGAAGGCGTCCGCCCCCTCTTGTTCCTCCTGCTGTTGCGGCCTGATCTTGGCCCAGTCAGTTGATGCGAGGAGTTGCCTCAGCCTCCCCTCACCCCCTTCCTCCCTGCTCTGAGCTCCTGTCACCTGCCAGCCATCCCTTCAACCCGCACCCCCTCCCCGCAACACGTTGTGCGACCCCACCCCACCAGGCCGCCGTGCAGCTGGTGGCTGACCAGGGTTTGACCGACATCAAGATCACCTACAGCACCCCCCGCGGCGACGACCTGGACACGCGGCTGCTGCGGGCCATGGTCATCAAGGGCATCCTGGAGGAGACCACCACCAGCAACGTCAACCTGGTGGGAGGATTACGCCCGCAGGGGCGCACGCGGCTGCGGGGCAGCTGCCTGGCGGCCCCGGGGACGGCCGTGCCGCGGCGGTGCTGATGCTTACTCCAATCGACTCGGCCGCACCGATTCCCAGCTGATGCGAAGCGTTCGATGATTGACCCCCCAACCGCCAGGTGAACGCCGACCTGCTGGCCAAGTCGCGGGGCCTGCGCATCGCAGAGGTCACAGTCCGCAGCGAGGGCGCGGACGTGCTGACGTCACTCAGCGTCAGCCTGGGCGCGGCCAAGTCCAAGTTCAGCGGCTCCCTGGACAAGGAGAGCCGCATCTACATCGAGGGCACCGTCAGGGCGGGGCGGCCCTACCTCACCAAGATCGGTGCGCAACCCCCTGTGATCTGATGTGTTCTGATGTGATCTGGCATGATCTGATCCAAGACACAAGACGTGGCATGGGATCGCCGCGCCGGCCGCTGCCCGCGGCCCGCTCAAGACGGCGAATGAGGGCCCCAGCAGGCGGTTGCATATTGCATACGGCTGGCTCGCCTTGACGACCCGCAGCCATGGTCTTACATTCCTACTCGCAGATTCCCCTCCCACACACTCCCAGACACACACCCCAACCCTGAACTCGAACCCCTTGCGTCACGCCGCCGCCGCCATTCATTCCGCAGGCGGCTTTGACGTGGACCTTTCTGTTGAGGGCAGTGTGCTGCTGTGCCGCCAGCGCGACCAGCCGGGCATTGTGGGCACCATCGGCATGCTGCTGGCTAAGGACAACATCAACATCAACTTCATGACGGTGGGTGCTTTTTTTTGGGAGGGGTCTTGAGGGGTAAGGGGTGGGGGTTGGGGGTCATGGGCCATTGTCACATCATCTTCATGCGGTGCGTGTTTTTGAGGGGGAAAGGGTGGCCCTGTGTGTTTGCTCCGCGTATGCTTGATTCGAGGGCGTAGCCTCCACGCATGTGCATGGGGTCGGCGCCTGTACATACGTCGACGGGCCGCGCCTTGTTGCGATGGGGACATGTCGGCGCCTTGTTCGGGGAGGGCGCCGGCACGCCTGGGTTTCCGATGGCGCGTCCCCAACTGCCTGTGGCGCACCGCCGCAACCTGTGGGCAGCTCGGCCCTGGTCCTGGGCCCCACCCCGACACGGCCCTGCTGACTCTCTTCGCCCCTGCACCTGCCCTTGCCCCCCCCCCCCCCC